CCACAGCAGGCCCGTCCCGGCTCCCTCCGCCCGGAGCAGCGCCCCCTCGCCCGGCACCAGAGACTCACTCTCTCCGCAGCGAACATGGCATCGCTCTCCTTGAACTCCGGGAAGACATGTCCTGGAGAGAGAAGGCTGCAGTCACCGCGGGCCGCCAGGTGCAGAGGCCCCAGGCTCACCTGCCCCTCAGGACCGTGACCAGGCTCAGCACCGCGGTCTCTATGGAGAGAGACCTCCGAGAGCACCACTGGGGCCGCCCCTTCTGTTCTGCTTGGCCCCACCCCGGCCCCAATGGGGTTGAAGTCTGGAAAGGCAGGGGCTCGCGTGCCTGGAGCTGGGCTGACCCACGCTCCTTGGGGGTGACCGCTCCGTGTGCCACTGCTGGTTGGCTGGTGGGCGCCGTCCCCGCCCGCCGAGAGTGAACACCGCCCCGGTCACCCAATGCGGACACTGTCCCGCCGACTCACCCTCCACCTTCATGATCTGGTAGGTGTCCTGGACCACCTTGTACTTGGGCTCGTTCCGGAAGGCGTGCGCCCAGGCCTGGATCAGGTACAGGATCTTGTTTCGGACGTTGACTTCCACCTGCCTCTGCAGAGGGAGGACGACGTGAGGAGGGACACGAGGGACACGGAGACGCAGGTGCAAAGGGATGTCAGCGGCCACGCGGCCCCAGGACCCACTGCTGGGCAGAGGTGGGCAGGTCCCGGTGGGGCGCAGGGAAACCCTCTCCCCAGGCCCAGCCCCCTCCATGGAACCCTGACCCTGAGAAGAACCCCTGGCATCTGTCTGCCCACGGGGCCTGCAGGGTAACCCCAGATCCTGTAACAAGACCGGCTGGGAACCCCTCGCCTGTACCCTGCCTGACGCTGGGCCCTCCTTCCAGTCACAGCCAGGCCCACACCCAGCACCCTCTCCACCTGGAGCACCAGCTACACTTCGAGCGCCTCGGGGTCACCCGCCCAGGTCGCCCAGGACGCGGGCAGAGCAGGCGGCTTCAGAGGGGCAGCCACAGCTCAGCACCGGCTGCTGGGCCTTTCCTGGGATCCGTGTGCCACGGGTGGAGGCCTCTTATCGCCAAGGGGGACTAAGGGCCGTCGGCCATGATCTGCGGAGCTCCTCCCCCTCTTCCCAATGGCCTCTGAGGAGCCAGCCGTCAGCTCAGGCCCAGATGGGCTCTGGCCCGTGGGCCCAAGGCACCGGCAGGACCAGGAGACCGCCGGAGCCGGGGCTGCGCTCCTCAGAGGGGCCCTTGCACCCCAAGAATGTCCGCCCCACCCCGCTCTGCATCACACAGCCTCGGGGTCACTGCCAGGTCACAATCCCTGAGGGGCAGCGCCGGCCCAGGCTCTGCAGGACTGTCCCTCCTCTGCCCAAGGAGGGCATCGCCCCTGTCCCTCCAGCACACATCCGACCACTGCACCCTGCTCAGTGTGCGGGCGCCCAGCTGCCCTCATCCCTCCCCCGCCTCTGCTCACACACACGCAGCTCCTTCCTCCCCTCAGTGAGTGTCCTGCCTTCACAGCTGGGCTCTGGCCCTGCCCTGAGGGCTCCCTGGGCCTCTGCTCTCTCTCTCTCTCTCTCTCTCTCTCTCTCTCTCTCTCTCTCACACACACACACACACACACACACACACACGCACGCAGCTCCTTCCTCCACCTTCCTCTCCTCAGTGAGTGTCCCGTGTATCAGTCAGGTGGGCAGGTGAGGCCTGGCCCCGCCCCCAGACACCTCATCCACCTGGAGGCAGAGGGGCCTCCGGCGCCCAGACATCACCGGCTGAGGCCGGCCTGGTGCAGGGACCACCCACACTCGCCTCGCGGCCTCTGCCACACCTGGTGCTGCTCCTGCCACAGGTGCCAGCAAACACCCGGAACGGCCCAGGCCTGGCAGCGGGCGACACCCTCCCCCGCTGGACCCGCCCTGAGGAGCGCCCACCTTCAGCAGCTCCTTCAGCTCCTCCATGGTCTGCTTGTTGGCCACCTCGTCGTGGACGGTCTGGCCACAGTTCTTCACCACGGACTCCATGACCTGCAGACCCCAAGGAGGGGAAGGGACAGGCAGCTGGTCAGCACAGGGACCCCTCGGGACGGGCCCACCGCCCCGCAGAAGGCCGCCCTCCACAGGCGTCAGGAGAGCCCGGGAGCCTGTGCTACCCAGGCTCCACCTGACTCCACGTGCCATCTCCACCAGAGGCTAGAGCCACCCTCCCTGCCCGAGGTCAGTGTCAGGAGGGGCAGGTGAGGCCCGGCCCCGCCCCGGCTCTGCAGGCTGCTCCATCTGCCTCCCGCCCGATGCCTGCACTGTGCGGGCGCTGCCCCAGGCGGTGGGGAGGCCATGGGCCACTCCTCTGCCACCCTGACCGCTCGGGACGGGCCCTGAGAGGGTGGGGTGCAGGCGAACAGTCACCTCTAGGGCATACAGGGCCACGTGGGGGTTCTTGTCACTGACTTTCTTCTTGATGGAACTCACAGCATATTTTGCCCTGAAAGGAAAGGGCGTTGGTAGAAGCGCAAAGAGATGGGAGAAAGGAAACCATCTCAGCAACTAGACGAGAGAAGCCCAGCTCCGCCTGGCCCTCGAGGCCCCCACGCTGTACAGAGGCCTCCGGCTGTGCCAGATCTCAAAACCCCCAGCGCCCGGACCACGCGGCTCCACCCAAATGCGGGGCCCTGAGGGCCGTGGGCACAAGCTCCCCTCACTTACTGCGTGTCCCCCTGGCGGATCAGGTCACAGATCTGCAGGATGGACTCCCAGTCGGTCTCCAGCAGAAGCTGGCTGGTCGCTTTGTCTAAGACGGAAACGCACCATCATGGGGGCTCATCCTGCTGGGGTTCCCTCGGGGGCCCCCAGCTCAGCCACAGGCAGGAGCTGCCTCCACCCCGTTTCAAATGCTCGGACGCAATGGAAAACCCCGTGGACATCCTCCGGGCGCAGTGAGAGCCATGGGAGCACTGGCCTGACCCAACGAGGCAAAGGCTTGGAAAATAACAGAGACCCCGGCCGGCGCGGTCCCTGGTTCAGCATCGACCTATGAACCAGGAGGGCAGGGCACGTGCCCGGGTTGTGGGCTCAATGATTTTCCTCTCATCACGGATGTTTCTCTCTCTCCCCTTCCCCTTCCTCTCTGAAGACAATAAACATACGTTAAAAAAATACAACAACAGAGAAATCCTGTTGTGTGCCCGTTACCAGCCTCTTGCCAACGCTCTCCACGAACCCGCTTCTTGCACAGCCTCAGCGGGGAGGGCACTGCCAGGGGTCACACAGCTCGCTGAGGACACAGCCAGGACCCGACCCCGGGCCGGCTGACTCGTGACAGAGACCCGAGCCCTGGTTTTCGGAGGTTGAGCCTCGCTGGTGAGATTCGCGCGGGGGCCAGGCTCCGGAGCAGCACCTGGACTCCGTCCTCTGCTTCAGGGACTGACCTCGAGGATTCTCCAGAATCCCTCTCTCCCTCCCCATCACGTGCGAGGCTCCAGCCCTGCTGGCACCCTCCTCCCTGGAGACGCCAACCGCCCAGCAAGGCCTGGCCCCTTCGCGCTGATCTGCTGGGAACTCCTGGGTTGGTCCTCGAGAGGCTGAGCCACCCCCTAGCGGGGTCCCTCGCCTGCTCCCCCCAAGAGCAGGAATGACGCCGGGCCTGAGGGTGGGCTCGGGAGACCAGCGGGGACCCAGGGCGCCTGTCCGTTTCGTGGGAGGGAGGGGCTCGCCCGGGAACATTCCTCCCCCCTGACAGGTGTGACCTCCCGGAGCTCAGAGAGGATGAGCCACAGCCCGACCGACCGGACCGCCTCCCCGAAGTGCCCGGTCCCGTGGGGACAGCGGGGCCGGCCCGGGCCGCAGGGAAGCAGGCCGCAGAGGAGCCTGCAGGTCCCGGGAAGGCGTCCTCTTTTGGGGGTGCTCGTGTTTGGGTCAGAAGCCCCAGCCCCACGCGACCTCGGCTTTTTGCGGGGCGGACGTCCACCGAGATGGGCTATTCGGTCGAGTCACCCATCTTGGTGACTCAGAATCTCGAG